CAACCTGACGGCTTTCGGCCGTTCTCCGTAAGCATATACTCCTGCGAACTCCCACGACTCCGAAAACAGTGGCTTTTCTACGATTTTTTATCCGCAAATCATATGTCCGGATCGTTTGACGGATCGCTTTTTACCATCCATCCCCGTCAAGTCCATGGCATCGTGTCTCGCCAAGACCAAGGAGCAATGATGGGTTTGGGAGAACAGAATGCCTGGCAGAAGTTCAGCAGACTTCGGATTGATGGCCTAAAAATTGACCATCTAAACCGAGGGGTAGAAGGACCGTTCGGATGGATTTACGAAGGGAATGTCGACATCGTTGCTGACGTAATGCTACCTGCTGAAACAGACGAAGGAATCACGAAAGTCATGGCCGATTTCTATGATCAGCTTGAGGAGGCAGTCATTATGAACAAACAGCGGTTGTTGCAAATTTCTACGGACAACAGTCCCGTCTTGCTCCGGTCTGGACATCTCTCGGAAGCTGGCCATGTCGAGGCTACCGAAAACAGCGAAGAGGGCGAACCGGGCGAAGAAGATCGCCGGTATATTATCATGGACATGCGCATTCATATGAATGATGTGAAGGCCGCAGTACCTCTCTTCACAAGGGATATATCCTATGTCAACCAGGCACTTGTACGACCAATTGTGGCTTACATCAACGCCAAGAAGACTTACATTCCAATTTCTTGCCGCATAGTCAAACGTCTCAGCGATTTTGATGGAAGTTGGACTGTGTTCGACTGCGGGTTAATGAATGACGCATCAGTTGAAACATATGACGCCTTTGCCAAAGACGTGGAAAATCAACAGAGCCGTGTCCGTCGATTCAAGAAGGTTGGATTTTGGACACTGTCTCTTGCAGTCCACGCTCTTTTTATGGGAATGGCGGGAAATGTGGTTTGATGTAATACCCCTGAATGATATCTCTACTCTATTGTAATACCTTTCTGTATGCTTGTTTTTTTTTCTTTTCACTCTTGCATCGTTCCCAGTACCTTAGCGAAACATGAATGGGCTATCGATGAAGGGAATCTTGTACACGACGACAGCACAGAACTCGGACGGTGCAGCAAAATTGGGGTACGGCGTTGAAACATGGTCACAGGGTCATTTTATCTTCTTTTTTTCTTATTCACAACGGCGTTCTCGGGAGGATAAAGCTCTTGCATGCGGACCGGACAGAGGAATCAGGGACGCTGAACATGGAATCCCTTTAGACATGTAATGAATGTCATCTGCAATACATTCTCGATGGCCTTTAAGACACAGGACGACAAATATTGCGTGGCTTAACTTAGTTTTGACTTCTGAAGCCTAATGTTTCAGTCTAGGTAATTACTACGTATCCTTCAACTGTATCCGGTCCAACAAATATTCCACAAGATGAAGCTATCTCCATTGATGGAGCTATCAACAAGCAGAGAGCCGTAATGTTTGTGTCGAATAGGAACAAAGAACGCATTAATTTGCCCACAAAATGCGAATGACCCCGTCTAATGCTCCCTCTGATGATCAAATCCTATTTTCCGCTCTGCTTCTCCCTCAAGACGGATCCATCCTCATTCGCCCCATGAATCACAAAGCAGGCCGAGAAAGTGTCTTCTGGGTGACGTTTCTCAACGACGGGTATGTGAGCATCAAGTGCATTCGACAGAACAAGAAGCGGATAGCATCTGTCTCCGCGCAGGCTCGACACAAGGGTTCGCTATGAGCTGATGCAAATGCTTTTGCTGTACAGGTTGACGGGACCTCCATAATAGTGCCAAGGGTTGGGGGCTGAAGCAGCTCCTTTGTTATATTCTTGAAAAATCTCGTCACATGAAATCGTCACTGTTGACATGGTCAGCAAATTATACCAAATGGCGATTTTAGTTTGCACATACTCTCCGAACGCATCGCCATCGTATGTTGACACATCCGTGGTATTGGCACGGGTAGTGACAAGTGAGGTCTTAGTTTTGGCGGCCTTCGTTTTCTTGCCTCCTTTGTCAGAAGCTTTCTCGTCCTTCATCTTCTCGTTGCTGAGGCGAGTCAGTGCACTGGCAACTTTCTTGACCTGGTCGCTTGATAGCTCCTTGGCCAGGTCCTTGACGAATTCTTCGAGGAAGAGACCGTAGTGGGCTTTCTTGCTATTACCATTGATAATAGGCGAAAGCGTGGTGCGCATAAGTTCAAACTGCTTCTTCGTCTGCGGATTTAAAAGCGGTAATGAAGCAAGATTCACAGTCTTGGTCGGGTCTTGTTCGTCGACAACAATGGCAGCACCGATGGTCGGAGCCTTGCGGCCGCTACTGATGCCAACGCTGCCAAAAAGATCCTCAGCATGACGCAGATCAGCCTCCTGCTCAGTACGACGTAGTCTTTCGCGGCGCTGTGCTTCGGTCTCATCGTCCTCGCTTTCTTCTTCCTCTTCCGCACGTTGACGAGCGCGGTTGGCCTGATGCTCCGCGATTCGCTCAGCCTTGGACTTTTTGTTGGCGGCAGCTTCAGCATCAACTTTTGCCTTGGCTTCGGCAGCCTTACGCTCTTTCTCACGCTCTACCTCGGAATCCTCGGCGGCATCCCAAGATTCGAGGACCTGAACAAACATGATATCAGTTCCGTTCCCGCAACGTGTTGGCAGGGCCACGGGCTTTGGAAAGAAGCAACTGGTTCACTCACATCGCTGTCGTCTTCCTCATCTTCGAACTGGCGTCGGCGAGCAGCCGTAACAGGAGGAGAAGAAGGGGGAGTGCTGGAGTCGCTTTCCTCCTCGTCTGGGGTAAAGAGCGGTCAGTTAGATGCAGCCCAGGCACAGGAACAGGCGCACAAATGCTTTCTAGGATTGGACGCGGTCTCCACAGAGCCGCATCGTAAACACTGGGGGCTGTTTCTGTAGATCTGGATCTATCACGTAGATAGACGGGATGTGCGCGTGGAAATGGAAAGTTGGAAGGGTGTCGTGAAATCCTTACCCCACTGTTTCTTCGCAGGCATGATGCCAAAGGTTCAGTCTGTCAGGGTTTGAAGGTGTATCTGCGTCACGACGGCTCGGGATGGCACTACCAAGGTGATAGATAGCTGTGTAGCTGATGGTTGGTTCGAGGATAAAGACTGTGCTGGCGTTCAGCGTCGCGGCAAGAGGAGGGACGTGGAGAGAAGAAGAAGACAGATGACAGTAGGATGGAAATTTTTTTGTGTGTCGCCCGACGACCACGGATGAGAGGGAGGGGAGAGGGGGGAGGGACCAGTTGGCATGGAAAGGGAGGGGCCGGCACATGGGCGTCAGGCAAGACACGGTGCAACAAACCTTGCCTCGTTCTCTTTCTTAAGACTTAGAAAGGAAAGTTTCGAAAACGGGCAGCTATGATAATAAGGTAAATAATTATTGATATTAACAAAGAGAAAGATTAGAAAGAAATCTAAGCAACAGGCTTCTAAAGCTCTATGCCGGACACGGTTGGACGACGGACAGGCATGCAATGGTGATAGTGTCCGGTGTCATTGGTATCGCCGGAAAACCGAGCCATCGTCGGTGCCACCCGCGGGCCTTCCCTAAGGCCCTTCCTTACTCCGTACTCCGTATAAATTGGCCACAATCGAAATTCTTTGTTCGGCAGCTGATAAAGTCACCTGCATGGAGATTGTAAGAGTCATACACGCGGGTCTCGAAAACGTGGAAGCCAAGTGGCTCCGATCATGGCAGCTGGAGGCCGATACAGTAACCGGACTGATGCGACCATGTCACCTCAATTTGGACCGTTTACGGCTTAGTATTATGTACTTGGCTCCAATCCAGTTGAAACCTACCTAGGTAGGTCCCTACTTACCTAGGTAAGTACCTACCTAGGTAGGTACCTAGGAAGGTACCTAGGTACTTAAGTAGGTAGTAGTAGTGCGACTACTGGTACGATTGTTGTGCAAAGGCGATGCCAGCCTCTGAGTCTCCGCCTGGCTCACCACTTACTGAAACGTCACCGGAGAACTCGAGTATACAAGATGCAGTCTTGACCTCGATTTGCCTGTGCACAGACATAGAGTACAGGCCTCAGAAGAGGTACTGGGCAGGCATTTGATTTCTGCCCAAAAGACCGCCCGACCTGTCGACCGGTCACCCCACAAGAGTTGAAGTGAGTCAGTCCATCTTAACGGAACGGAATATCACGCAGCCGAGTTCTCTGTACTCCGTGATGTACGACTGAACTCTTCTCGAAAACGCTTTCCGGGAATGCGAGGCCTCAAATGGGATGGGTCCTGCCAAGCTGTAAATTGATGCACAAGCAAGTTGAATAACCACGACGAGCGGATGATGGTGAGCATGCCTCAAGATTCAAATTGCAACTCTGGCAGTCCTCCCGGGGAGGGAGACATTGTTGTGATGACCAAGCCCAGAGCAGTTTCAGTTTTCTTGTTTCCTAGGTTCTCGGGTTGTCTGTGGCCTGGGGTGTGTCAATTTTAGAACGGCGGAATGAATCGCCGCTCTGCCGATTCATCATGTAGATGTCACCCACCAGCAGGAACTCGAGCATGCTTAAGTAGGTACTTATATGAACCTTACCACCACACGCCAACTACGCCAGCCCACCAACTGCCCAAGCGACCGTGGCGCTGCTGTCGGTGAATCTGGCTCCGCGCCTCCCAGCCTGCCTTTCAAGCCACTTTTGCGGTTTTGGTCCGCCAGACCCTGTGGTGGGGAACCAGGCCAGGTGCATTTTGAGTCACAATTGCTTTCAAGTGGGAAGAAAAGTTCGTCTTGCTCGACGAAAGCCTTCATGACAGTTCGCCCAATTTCGTCTCTTGGCCTTTCCTTCAGTGTTTCCACTTCTTTTCGTCCGCGACGATCATTATACCAGGCTCGACGCTCTTTTAACACAATTCCTCGATTCTCGACGATCCGAGTTGCAACCCCCACTACTACCCTCAAAGCCCTAGGCAAATCTACTTGTAGTAGCTGGCACTCTAAATCAAGATCATTACTCTGCATTTGTTTGCCTCGATCGATCAAAACATTTGCTATGGCTCAGTCGAATATCATGAACCAGCTGGCCCAAAGGGTGGAGGGTTTGACTCTTGATGGCCTGGCGCAGAAGTACCCTACTGCCCATCCTGAGATCAACCCTCTTGACCTATATAGGGCACATCTGAGCGATGTCCTGTCCAAAATTTCAGGCGTCGAAACATCCATCATTTATCCTGCTGTCATGTGGACACAAAGCCTTGACAAGGGCGACTTCGTCGTGGCGGTTCCTGCGCTCCGTATCAAAGGCAAGAAGGCTGACGTTTTGGCCCAGGAATGGGCTGAAAAGGTATGATTGACCTCGGAAATTTAGTGCGACAGTTTCGTAAGGAACAATACGTTAACATCCGGCTTGCCATAGTTCCCAGAGGATGACCCTCTGTTTAACAAGCCTGCGCTCAGCGGGCACTTCATGTCTTTCTTCGTCAAGGGAGGACCCCTTATTGAGTCAATCATTCCATTGGTGAGGAAAACTGGGAAAGACTTCGGTTTGTTATACCAAAATGAAATAAGTAATCAAACACTGATAGCCGCAGGTGAAAATCGATTCAATGGCCTCAGGGACCCAAAAAACCTGAGCTCCGGCAAGAAGCGTATTGTGAGTAAGGGTCCTATATTCAATTGCTGTCATATCAAACCATTAACACCAATTTAGATTGTCGAGTTTAGCTCTCCCAATGTTGCAAAGCCCTTCCATGCCGGTCATCTTCGATCCACTATTATTGGCAGCTTCATTGCCAACCTCTATGAGGCGAACGGTTGGGACGTCGTTAGGATGAATTGTCAGTGCTTCCCAGTCATAGCCGCCGATATATAAAGGGAAATATAACTGGGGCTAACTGCAGCTTGTAGACCTTGGAGACTGGGGAAAGCAATATGGGCTGCTGGCCTTATCGTACGAACGAAATGGAAATGAAGAAGAACTCAACAAGAATCCGATCGACCACCTCTTCAAACTCTATGTTCAGATTAACGCAGAAATGAGTGCCGAGAAAGAAGCCATCGAAGAACAGAAGAAAGAGGGTAAAGATGTCAGTGCTTTGGAAGCCAACAGCCTCGACGAACAAGCCCGCCAATACTTCAGGCGAATGGTAAGACGTAGCGCATTCTTTATACTACTTGAAGCCTTCAAGCCACAGTCAAATTTTGGCGCCGCTAACGTGCAACTAGACCGATAGGGATGAGGCAGTTCTCTCTCAGTGGCAGCAATTCAGGGATCTCAGCATTGCTCGTTATAAAGGTAAGCGGGCAAGCTTTGGCAATAGAGTCGGACCGTTTCTATTTCAATTTTCACCTATGCCACATTCATCCACATGAACTCCAATAGATATACCATGTTCTGACATCATATAGAAACGTACTCTCGGCTCAATATCCAATTCGATGAGTTCAGCGGTATGTTTTAATAATGAGCACTCGCAAACGCCGACGCTAAACTTGAATTAGGTGAGAGCCAGGTATCCGAGGAGTCAATGTCCAAAATAGCCGACGAGATGAAGGAGAAAAACATTTCTCGAGAAGACAAAGGCGCCGTTCTCGTTGACTTCACCCAACTTCTCCCAGGCAAAGAGGGGAAGAGGCTGGGAACTACTGTTCTCCGGTATGTACTCATCACTGAGTGGTCAGGCGAAGCAAGAGCTAATCTGATTATTATATTAGAAAACGAGATGGCACTGCGCTCTATTTGACTCGCGATGTTTGCGAACTGCTTGGACGTGTACGTGTTCTCTGCCCCCAGACACTGCTGCACTGGTTGGCATATGAGCATGTATTGGCTGACATCCCGTGTCCTATAGCATGAGAAGTACAACTTTGACCATATGATCTACGTGGTTGCTAGCCAGCAGGACCTCCACCTCAAGCAGCTTTTCCAAATCATCGAGCTTCTTGGGTACAAGGACATTGCCAAGAAGTGCCAGCACATCAATTTTGGACTAGTCCTTGGTATGAGCACCCGAAAGGGAACCGTTAAATTGTGAGCTCCACACATCTCCACGATACCTGTATATTTCCTACTCGGGGGCGTTGCTGACGAGCATTAAAATTAGCCTAGATGATATCCTCAAGGACTGTGCGGATCACATGCACGAGACTATGAAGAAAAATGAGGAGAAGTACGCTCAAGTTGAGGATCCAGATGCTACAGCCGACACGCTCGGCATCAGCAGCGTAATGGTTCAGGATATGAGTGGCAAAAGGTGAGTGGTGATGTCTTTAAGCGCCTAGTCGTCTCAATGACTAATCTTACATCTAGAATCAACAATTATACTTTTAATATGGAGGCCATGACGTCCTTCGAAGGCGACACTGGTCCTTATCTCCAGTATGCACATGCCCGATTGTGTTCAATTAAGCGCCGTGCAAACCTCACGGATGAGGACTTGGACAGCGCCAACTTGTCTCTTCTGAAGGAGGATCATGCTGTCAATATCGTGCGAATGCTGTCGCAATGGCCAGATGTTTTACAAAACACACTCAAGACATTGGAACCAACAACAGTTCTCACCTATCTTTTCAAGATGACACATGTTATCAGCAGCAGTTACGACCACCTGCAGGTTGTTGGTAGCGAACGAGAGCTAATGAAGGCCCGTATGGCTTTATACGACGCAGCACGAATTACGTTGGCCAATGGCATGCGCATCCTTGGATTGACGCCACTTGAAAGGTAAGCAACGAGCGTAGCCGTTGTACCGATCTCAACACTGACAGGGTATCAGGATGTAAACATGTAAACCTGTAAACATGTAAACAGGGCAACTTGCTCGACGTTCATGTAGATGAGAACAATGGACCAGCAGGGGTGGATGAAGGTGGTCATGAACAACACACAGCGACTACGGGTGGCAGTGAAAACAGGGCAAGTCACGAAAAGCCGAGCCTGCAACATGAGGCATGACAACCTGTTGCCTTGAAAACTAAGGTACACCTCAACATATAACTTAATTATTCAATGTTGGATCAAGCCAGCTGTTGATCGGCAGCCAGCGTCAGAAGTAGAGTGGAACTTGTTTGATTCAGCAATAAATCGCCAAGCTGCCAGGGAGCATATTAGAGGCTTTTTTTTTGTTGGTTGGAGGGGGGTGGCGTCGTTCTCGTATTATTACGGGGAGGTTACTCTTCCAACACGGGCGACGGTGAGTCAGAGCTGGGAATTTGGTTTCGACCCCGTCCCACTGCGGATATGACTTGCCGGAAGTGAGAAACGAGGTCTTTCAGAGCCCGTTGAGGGTAGCCTATTTTCTGCTGCATCTGGCATAGATTACACGACGTGCAGTTACAGCCCACCAGGTTCCCGACCATGTAATGTTTTTATCATCTACTAGATAATTCCGTGCCATGTGCATGATGATGACAGAGATGTGCCTCATCCGGCAGTCTGGGTTGGTGGAGCAATCAGTTTCCTGTTTATGGATGGCAAGAGCCGCAACCTTAGTAACAAAGCTTACTTGGTTGGTGCCGCCATGGGCCCTTGGCGATTGGGTGTCAAGATTGAATTTGCGGAAATTGGGTCCTAATACTGTTATTTTTGCATCATCCAGCTTGCTCGAGAATTCGGGATCCAATGCGGAGCACGGAGTATTGGAACCCATATGGCCTGACGATTTCTGAGATGTCAATGATAGAGATGTTGAGACACCTACGAATGAGGAATCGAGATGCTGAAAAGTTTCTTCATGCTCGTGACAGATACAGCCCTGGTGTAGCAGAGATGCTGATGGGGCACGATGGGGCACGCTGGGTGCCCTGGGGCAATAGTTACAAATGTACGGAGTATGCCAGTAATGCTGGTTCTCCGTAGGGGCGGGATGATTCGGAATCCAATTTCTGCTCGAGGAGTCAAGTACCAGACACGTACTTAAGGCAGTAGGGCGATGCGTGAGAGCCCGGAAGATCCCGATGGCTTCAATGTTGCTAGCTCCAAGTGTAGACCAGTCCCGACTTGGGCCCGATGTCCGGCTAGCCAGCCCGCTTGCCCCTGAGCCCGCCTGGACGGTGCACTTGACGCCTGGCATCTGGTTACATGTAAGGCTGTCTAGCAACCGACCAGACCCCGCGGAGTTAGTTGTTACTTGACCCAGCGCGGTGGGATTCCGATCCGTCTTCGTCTGGCATCACTTCGGTGTCTTTCTGGAAGGGCGGTTTTGATTTCCATTTTTCTTTCCTCCCTTGATTACTCCCGTAAGACCAACCATCTTGCTTTGCTTGGGCCTTGTGGCCAAAGGCATCGCCGATAGCCTACGGGATACTGCCAAGCCGTTATGCTTCGCCGTGTAATCGGATGCCGGTGTCGAGTCAAGAGTCTCATGCATATAAATCCAGCCCAGCCAGTTTAGACTTTCGTAGACATAAATCTTGTCAATGTGCGACACCATAGCCAACACTACTTTGTCTCTTTCTTATAATCAAAGTAAAGTCAACCTCTTCCTGAACCCCGAAACTATCAATTGCCAATCTTTGATCAGGCAGTCACCTGTTCAGTCTGTCCAATCATCATCAACGAGAAGAATAACACCACCACATAAGTCTCTCTCGCCTCCCATGATATCCACCACCGTCCAGTCCCGAACCCATGTGTACCGGCAGGCTGTCAAGCTAGCACGATCTGCTAACCTTGCTGTTGCCGGATCACCACTTGGTCTCAGACTCGCCTGCGTTGGCCCAGCCCAGCATCACCACATAATCGCCTCGCCGCGACCCTTCTCCACGACACCCAAGAACCACCTCCGAGACTTTTTCCCCGCCAAGGACACGCCGCACATTCAAACAACAAAGGCAGCATGGCCGCATCCTGGGTATACCCTGGAAGAGATGGTGGCTGTCGAGCCCGCCCATCGCGAGCCCCGAAACTTTAGTGACTGGGCCGCCTGGAAGATTGTTCGCTTCGCGCGTTTCTGGATGGACAAGGCGACGGGCATGGGCAGGGACCAGCAAGTTGATAAAAAGCACCCCACCACATCTGTGGTGGCAGAGAAGCCACTGACCGAAGCACAATGGGTATGTACGCATTCTCACATCAAAAAGGAGAAGAAAAACCAACGGTCCGAAGACCCGCCACGGAGACACGGCCTGCAGACAAGCAAATCATATTCCAGCTATTGCTAACACGCGCATATCCAGCTTGTCCGATTTGTCTTCCTCGAGAGTATCGCCGGCGTTCCAGGAATGGTGGGCGGCATGCTGCGTCATCTCAGCAGCCTCAGGCGCATGAAGCGCGACAACGGGTGGATTGAGACCTTGCTCGAGGAGAGCTACAACGAAAGAATGCATTTGTTAACATTCATGAAGATGTGCGAGCCCGGCTGGTTCATGAAGCTCATGATCATTGGAGCCCAGGGCGTCTTCTTCAACGCACTCTTCATCACATATCTCCTCCATCCCCGGATCGTCCACCGGTTCGTCGGATACCTCGAAGAGGAAGCTGTGCACACATACACCCGGGCTATTCGTGAAATCGAGGACGGCCACCTCCCAAAGTGGGCTGATCCAAAGTTTCAAATCCCGGATATTGCTGTCCAGGTAAGCATCCACAACACTACATGAAAGCCTGCTTTGCGAAGCAAGACGCTAACAAAGGGGGCCTTTTTTGGCCCATTTCATGCAGTACTGGAACATGCCGGAAGGGAACCGCACGATGAAAGACCTCATCTTGTACATTCGCGCAGATGAAGCCGGTCATCGTGGAGTCAACCACACCCTTGGGAACCTTAACCAGAAGGAGGACCCTAATCCGTTCGTCAGCACCTTCAAGGACAGAGAAGCGCCTAAACCGGCCTTGAAGGCCACCGGGTACGAGCGATCTGATGTCATTTGAACGCAATGATGTCTGAAAAAAAGAAAGAAGAAAAAAAGAGAAGAAGAAAAGAAGTAAGAAAGAAAAAGATAAAGACGTTAAGAAGTACGTCAACGGCACATATACCGGAAAATTTTCCACACACACTATAGAGTTTCATTTTGGTCTCCTGTATACCATTGGAGTGGTGGTTGATCTTCACCTGCTTCTCGATTTCACTTATCCTGGAGTAAGACATCTAGTCTAGATAAACGAGGCGTTCAAATTAGGTTTTCTTTTGTCTTTTAGAAGGTGTAGCAATTACAGCATTGCATTTCGGAGTTTTGGTCTAGATATGGCAATACCTCTCAGCTCTTGGATTCGTTGTAAGGCAATTTTGTACATGGATGTTTCTTTCTTTCTTTGTTTTTTTTTTTTTTTTTTTTTTTTTTTTTTTTTTTTTTTTTTTTTTTTTTTTTTTTTTTTTTTTTTTTTTTTTTTTTTTTTTTTTTTTTTTTTTTGGTTCCTTTATTATTATTCTTCTGTATAGTACTATCTCGGAAGCCTCAAGGCTCAAGCAATTACCTGATTGGCCAAAGCTTTGACCGTCATAATGAATAAACAGACTGAGATGCTAGACGTGAGATTGGAGAATACCTCAAGTTGCACTAGTGCATGAACGAGGGCGCAAATGGTAATACTATTGGAATGCGTTCCGCAGCAGGGCATTCTTAGACGATACCTGACGCTTCGCAGCGCAAACCAGCCCATTCGCGAAATCGACATGTTGGGCAGAGAACAGACGACATAGCTTTGCCCCCTCGGTCTCCAGCAACACGGGCTGTGATGGACCGAGAATGCCGCCATGGCGATGTGCCACAAACGGCACACTAAACCTTTTCCTCTTGCACGGAGCATGCAAAACTTGGGCGCAGTTTGCAAAAGGTCCTTTCGTTTGCGCCATCTTTTTTAGGTTCACGTGCTGGCTGCTTGCCCTGGGTATGTTCTTGGCTTCTCAAGTATCCCTGTATCCGAAAGGGCTTTTTCATAGTTTTTAGCGTGGCATTGCCTTTATTAGGGTCAATTGTTTTTTTTTTTTTTTTTTTTTTAGAATTTACATAGACCACGACGTACCGGCGTGCGAGTGGCTTTTGCCGTGCTGGGTATTGCAACCATGCTTCAACAGGTGCTATATTAGCAGGAAAATGGCATATCCATTCATCCTGCAGCCCTATGCGATAATAAATAGAAGTGGCTCGTCCACTTAGTCGCTGACGGGTAGTAAAATGTTCCAGGTGGCATGGGAAGTTGGTATATTTTTAGATGTTGTATCCACGACGAGTCTTCTGCAACTTGAACTACAAGTCCAGTGTAATACCACGCAATCCCTAATGTTGTAGGCGGTAGCTGGATGCTGAAGGTGATGTCGGCTCATCCTGCTCGACCTGGCGGAATGACGCGTCTGCCACGCAAGGGTTGACACTCGGCTTGGCAACAAGCAACGTGCATTTGACGATACTTGCTTTTGAGTGAATAGCAGTCGAGGACGTATGTACTAGCAAGGTGGACCCACCGGAGTAGGAGTACAGCCACCACGACCCAGAGATGGGTGGGGCTATTTTTGGGGACGTCGTCGTCAGTCACCCATTCCTGGAATAGACTAACTAGTAAATAAGTCTGTACGGAGTGCGGAGTGCTACTATGCGAACATCGAATGGTGGATTCCAGCGATTCTGGAAGCTTGGCCCATCAAATGGTTCAATGTTATGCCAGCGGTGGGCTGCACTGCCCTTAATGCTCCGGCATAGGGCTGGGCTGGGCTGTCTTGTTTTTCATTGTCGCTGGCCCATGGTACTGCAGGACTCAACAGTTCGCATGTAAGAGTATATTAACTTGATATTGCATCCCGTCGTTCGTCTGGTCCTTACTTTTGGGTGAGTTGTGGCGGTTAAGCTTGCCGACTGCAGCCCGTCGAAAGTGGCTATGCTAGAGCATCACACGCATAATCCGCACCCCGGCCTGGCTGTGCTTGTCCGTCTCTGTACCGCATCTGCTTTGATTGATAATGTCAATGGGGATGGAACCCGTTGTGCTCTTGGACTTGTGCGAGTCAGACCGACTTTGGCATCAACGGCAGTTTGTTGATGCAGACTGGGCGCACATAAACCAAGACCAAGGCCAAGGCTGCCAGGAACCACTGCTGGGCCAGGTCAACGGGATGGGGGCGGATGTAACGCACGGTTCCGGGGGAACCGCTTCTCACCCCAGTGACGATTCTCGCCCAGCGGCTACGTGCTTTGAGGTGCCCGTCCACCCTGGTATTTCCCTGTACTATCCCGCACTTCTCCTGCGTGCCATATCCGCAAGCACCCAGTTATAGGGCTGTGGCTGCGCAGTGAGGCTCACTGGCTACATATCTGATGCTTTGATATGTTCCTGGGGGTGTCGTTCGTCTGATCCTTACTTTTGGGTGAGTTGTGGCGGTTAAGCTTGCCGACTGCAGCCCGTCGAAAGTGGCTATGCTAGAGCATCACACGCATAATCCGCACCCCGGCCTGGCTGTGCTTGTCCGTCTCTGTACCGCATCTGCTTTGATTGATAATGTCAATGGGGATGGAACCCGTTGTGCTCTTGGACTTGTGCGAGTCAGACCGACTTTGGCATCAACGGCAGTTTGTTGATGCAGACTGGGCGCACATAAACCAAGACCAAGGCCAAGGCTGCCAGGAACCACTGCTGGGCCAGGTCAACGGGATGGGGGCGGATGTAACGCACGGTTCCGGGGGAACCGCTTCTCACCCCAGTGACGATTCTCGCCCAGCGGCTACGTGCTTTGAGGTGCCCGTCCACCCTGGTATTTCCCTGTACTATCCCGCACTTCTCCTGCGTGCCATATCCGCAAGCACCCAGTTATAGGGCTGTGGCTGCGCAGTGAGGCTCACTGGCTACATATCTGATGCTTTGATATGTTCCTGGGGGTTTGGAACGGGGAGATTCGTCTCAGAAGAGGCTGAGGTGGAACCCAGTGCTCTATCCATGTGCCTCGAAAGAACGAAGCGGCGTTGTCAAATCTTCCATCCTAGAGATGATCATTCTGACAGCAGCTCCAAATGCACGCTACTCTGCAGTCAGAGAGCCAGCGACGAAAGGGTAAGACGAGCACGTTGGGGGCCGTTGACGAGAAAAAAACTCATGCCGCATCCCAGACCGCATAAATTGATTCGTTTAGACTGGATACCGCTGTGTCGCCATCACAGTCGGTTGGGTGGTGGTTGACATGACTGGCCATCGGCAATTATTGCGCGCTCCGCAGTATTACCAGTCCTCGCATTGGCATACTAGCACATACTACTTATTGTCGGCTGCTGAAGTACAGAGTAGCAGCAACAAAACGCTGAACACATACTAGTTTGGGATCATGGGTGATGGGGTGATGGGGTGATGGGCAGTGCATAATGGATCCGGGTTATCGGCCGAATGTGGACAGGGCTGCATGAGTGACGGGTGGTTTTCTCGTCAGGGCCCGGACGATCACAAAGCCATCTCTTCGTCGCTTTAAGCGCGACCATGAGCCTGGGCTCCTTAGTCAGGGGACGACGGATAGTTCAAGTATTGTACGGAACACTCCGTCTCCTACGATAGAGAGGAGGATTGAATGGGCACGCGACATTTTGTCTGGTCAAGCATGATTGGGTTGAGGATTTGATGTTGGACGAGGGCAGCCAGCTCGGCGACCTGACACGAGCGCGCCTTCCCAGAGACCTTACTTTCACCATTATTGGACCTGAGATGCCATGTGTATTATCAACCGTCTTACTATCAAGGCCGGTCAACTGGTCCGTTTTGGCCCACACAAATACAAATATTGAGCTAGTATCTCGCTCTAGGTCGTCGAAAATAAGAGAATGAATCTGACATTGACCCCCGGAGCCAGAAGAAGCTGGTGTTTCGCCCGCCGAATGGTGGTGAGCCAGTTGTGTTGCAAGCCCCCCAGCCGGAGGGAGGTCAATTCCGCAACCACTCCGTCCTCTGCTCCGTCCTGTACGCCGTCCTCCGCGTGCTTTTGGCCTTGTGTGTAATATTAGAATTTAGGTGTGGTGTAGGGCAGCATTCGGTTGTTTTCCGGTAAAAGCGGGGCACTTTGTTCCTTTGCCCGACGTGGAAGTATGCCTCGTCAGGCAGACTGGAACATTTTTGAAGCCCTTGTCCCTCGTGTGCTCCAGTGGCCGGGATTGGCCCAATTGCATGGTTGCTGCCAGGCTAGCTTCAATGCCTGTTATTGCCCTGAAACGGCCCGCGATACGGGCCATTGGCCTTGGGGCGTTGATATCACGATCTCCCCGGTCGTGTTTGCCTAATAGCTTGCCTCACCAAGGAGCTAAGAGGCTTTGGCGAGTTCCTGGGTAACCAGGTTTATTGCCCAGTGCAAGCATGCTCAGATATTGGGGGAACTGGGAACGTCCTGGGTTAATCCCCAAGTCATTGACACGCCTTTGTTGTACACCAAACTTGTGAGCCCTCGGCATCTTCTCACGTGCGAGGAAGTGAGTTTGGGCCACAATAATGCTTGAATCATAGCCAATCAATCAGATATTGTTCCTTTCACTTCGCGGTGCACTGTCACAGGAGAGTAGCAAAATTAATCTGGCAACCCCCCTCTCCTCCATTCGGGGACTCGGGGACTCGGGGACCCGCGGGCTTTTTGGAGCAAACTCAGGGTTGGCAATTATCGTGTTCTCGGGTCAACTGGTGTAGCTCTTGGATGCCGGCCTTATGAGGCCCACTGACAGCCGGGGCCTTGGCGAATCCAGTACTCCGTACGGAGTAGTAGCTAATATTTCGAGTCTAACACAAACCCGTTCAGTCAATAAAGGGCTACTAATATTGCAAAATTGAGATCGATTTCGGGGATTGCTCTGTTGTGCCGCTCGCGAGTCATCCACCCGAGAGAGCTCGGCAGCAACATTTATTTAACTTAAGCAGATCATGCACTAGGCTTAAAGCTCCGAGTGTCCATGGCTTTCCCTACCCGCTCAACGTTC